ACCGATGACTAAAACCGACGGACAATAGTAATCCGTCAGATCCGAGGTTCCAGGATATAATGTTGAGACTAAACATTCTTCCACACAGCACTGACTTCAAATTCCATGACCAATATCAGCACAAGTACTTCTTTACCAGCGATAAAATGCATAAATTGTAAGAAATTTCAGCACACACAGCACTAATCAGACACTAAATATCCAGAGCGAATACAAGCAAACTATAATTAACACCTCTCTTCCTGGAAGAAGGCAGGAACTCGATGCGTGAATTATTTTTGACGAGGTATTTCTAGGAGCGTAGACGATAGAGAAAACTCTTATCAATACCAGCTGGAAGAAAAGATTTGCATCAAACAACCCACCTCATCATACTCGTCATCAGAATCATCACGGCGTCTGTATTCTACGACTTCGTCGCGTTCCATATAACCACCGCCATATCCTGTACGTTGGCCCTGGGTATTTACTTTGGGGCAGTTGCAGACGTTGCAAGTGGATCGGCGGGCCCAGTTTATATTTCCACAGCTGTTAGGAAGGGGAGGGGACAATAATAGTGATGCCTAATGAATAGGCAAAAAGGCGCAAAATAAAACGGAAGTGAAGCGGAGCATTGTCGAGAAACAAAAGATGCTTCTGCAGGTGAACGCCACCGGATTCGGATCCTTTGCAGTGTCACAAAATTGTGGAACAAAGTCAGTGCATGGCCGCATTTTCATTTCAATCCCCTTTGCTTATACTGAAACCCAGTGACGTTATCTTCGAGGCTCACACACATCGACAACAAGCTAGGGGGCAGTATAATTTTTCGATAAGGTATTTGGAGGCATAGTCAAAATTGCGCCTTGGGCCAAAAACGAGCAATGTTTCAAATACAAAGACAGGATCGCATTGAGTTGCAGGAGATACCCTGCTTACGGGCTGTCCAAACAAGGACAGGTATCCAAGCGATTCCATTCCATAATTGTGTAGCCGAAAACTAAGGAGGAACCGCAGCCAAAATCCAGCGTTAAACAGCCGAGCACACCTTGATTGGCTGAGGAGGGGGAAAGGGACGATGTTTCCATGGTCCCGCGACGGCAGCAACCCTGGAGCAACCGCCTCCGGCATGTTGACAGCAAATTCTATTTGGCTCGATGCCCTGTCGAACTTGCAAGACGGACCTTTTATGCGCAGAAGATTCATATGTTAATCGGTTAGGCGTAAGCACTCTAGTTGAGGCAGACTGTTGGAAATAGGGAACTCACACAGCTGGATAATGGTTGCTGCGAGATTTGCTCGAACCGCTGGCATCCCGACTTCGTGCAGGATACTCTACATTTGAGCACTCGCAGCCATGTTTGCTAGTTGTGCGATTAAAACGAGGTTCCCTCTTCCCAGAGTCGTAAGATGAGTCTACTGTAGTCTGAGCGAATTTTCTGCTAGAATTTCAAGGCAAACTTTTACGTGCAGATAGAATGAGGTTTAGGAAAGATGCAAGCGTAAATGCAGAAAATTGGGTACGCAGAATTTACCCTTTGCATTGCCAATCGTCGGGGCTAAACAAACCCTTGCTTTTCTCCGCCAGGTCTTTTCCTATTTCACGTTGCTGTTCTCGGTCGCCATAATTCTTTCTTCCCTTTCCGCATTTATTGCATTTATCACGCCTCGCAAAGTTTAAATTGCCACACCTATAAAGTAAGCGTTGAGCAACGAAGCGTCTTACCGCGAATCACTGCATACCCAATCACCTTTAGACGGCGCGAACTTAGATGACATTCTGTAAAACTAACACACGCTATTTGAAAAGTGCGCCTGTTATGATGCATAGATGATCAGAGAAAACAAAATGCGTAATAAGATGGTTCTACGAAATTTACCAACCTTAACCTATATGTTTTATAGAGTAAATTTTGATTCTTATTTTCCGACTAGCAACGCGTGCAGGAAGCATAACTTATGTTAAACGATATGTTGTCATCTGGCGACATTGTACACTTCCTCTCCTGCTCTCGCGCAAGAAGAAACGGCCGTCGTCCGTTTACGTTTTACTCTGCATAAAAACGTTTTAATTACTTCGAGTAGTATATTATATGAAAATAATCATGTTTTTCATCGAATTTGCTTAAAATAGTCCTTACCTCCACTCTGATCAACGTGGGCAGCAATCAGCTGCTGTATTTCCTCAACGTTCTAGAAGCAGATAGTACATATTTACGTGAAGTCTCCCTTTCGAAGGAATAACTACTGTTCATCTAGGGGATTGGTATCTATGAGAATTTATTACGTTGGTATGCTCTTTATGAACATACCCAACTATACATAGAGTAATCTTAAAATACTCATGTGGGTGGCTTTGTTGTTATGAGGCTGAGTTTAGTCCAAATACGCCATCAAATTGCCTGCAAGTATGAGGAAACCCATGCACGGTCGTGGATGTTCAAGAATGGAAATTATCAGAATCGTCATGATTTGAAAAACTCCTTACTCTTGCTCGCACTACCAACTCTAACCCCAAACTGTTTTGAATTGTTTACAAGTTAAGACAAGTTGAGACAAGTTACTGATATTCGCCAATCGGTTTATGAGTAAACTTCTACTGCAGGTATCCCTTCGATATCCTTACCCCGATTATTTTTTCTGTCTCCTGGCCGAGGCTTATCCACCTTTTGACATTCCACATAAACGCTAACTTAATTCATATCCCCTTCCCTCTCTTTAGAGCTACTGGACGAAGGTAATGGGTTAAATATAATGACAGATCAGAAGTGACATCACGTGAATAATCAAAGTAAATCGCAGCAAAGTTGGTTTCGGTAGACAGAAACACAACGGATTCAATATACCAAACGAGAGGATGCGCAACCACACAGTATACAGCAGAGCAAGTTGGGTGTAAAGTGCGTGCGGGCAGTCATCTAGCCACTGAGCGTGCTGAGTATCATCGAGCCAGCAAGCGGTCAGCCGCGAGGCATTATCGCGTAGTAAACGAACGCTCGGCTAAACTACAGAACCGTTTCTAGTCGGATAAATAATGCGAACTGTGAACCCATTTAACATCCCTTTACTAATATTGATAGAGTAGGATTTGCTGTAGAACTAGTTTTCTTCTCTCTCATACGCTCACCCGTCGGGGCATAAAGCAAGTCCAAACTTCCGTGATTATTCTACGATGCCAAGATCATATTTCTTTAAATCTTCATCAGGAAACGGATATAGCGTTGTGTGTGTTTTTCGACTACTGAATAAAACTGCATCGTAAAATAAATTTAGTGGGAAAACTGAAATTGCAAGTCAGTTTGTTTCGAGCAACCGGAACTGTGCCTCTGAATGATGAAGTCGTAATGGTAAAAATAATTAATGAGATAATTCTCAAAAAAACTAATAATTTAAATACTCAGAGAACTAAGGCGATGCCCAAGGTTGACTTTAGTCATAGGGATCGTGGACTGCGGGACGTGAAATGAACAACAATATAAATCAGCGAAACTAATAGCCAAAGTTTCGATGGGCTCATTTGTAAATTGTCAGAGATAGTGATAACAGAAATTTCCTCAACTGGATTAAAGATTTCTTGAATGATGGTAGACAAAAAAGTTACTGTGTGTGGCTACTGTTCAGAAAAAAACGCTTTTAGAAAGGGCATCCCACAAGGACCAATTCTTGGGCCACTCCTATACATTATCTATGCAGATGTCCTTGTGCGGGAAGTGAACTCAAATAAAACGCTAGTTGCAGATGATCTTAAACTGTGAAGGGTAATAAAAAACGAAGGATACTTACAAATACTACAAGCGGCCGTAGACCAGCATGGAGCAGGGACTGGTACGTGAATTTTAATATGAACACCTGTGCAAGAATGCACATGGTATCAACAAAATGCGAAACAAATTCAATCCCACGACATTATCTAAAGGAATCCCCTAATTGAAACCGTTATTATTGAAAAAGACCTCGGAACGTCACGACACTGTGTTCCAAAATCGCAGCGAGGACGATTTCGACTAGCAACGCAATGCGTAGGTCATTTGTCAACCTAAATGCCGTCATCTACGATAATGTATCTGGGTCATTTGGTGCTCACACCCGTAATAGACGGTGCAAGCTTGGCGTCCGTGACTTCGAAAATATGTAGGTATTCCGGAGGGCGTACAACGATGTGCTGCAAAGACCCCTCCTATAGAAGAAGAATGCTATATTGAGGATTTTACAAACCTGAATTTTCAGCA